CTGCTCATATGTCTATGGCTTGGCAATGAAAATATTAGAGCAACAGATTGGGGATGGTATTCCAAAGATGGTTTGTTATTACCCGTACGCATGAACAAACAACCTGCACTCGATAAACTTTTGAAAATTATTTTTTGGCAATGCAAAAAAGGATGCGGTGTTTCATGTGGGTGCAGAAAAGTTGGTTTATACTGTAACTCTACTTGTTCTGGGTGCTCAGGTGAAGGGTGCAATAATAGTCCACCAATAATTGAAGATGAGGATGACATAGATCACGATGAAGATGTAATTGATGACGAATAAAATTAATATTATAATTGTTTTACCTATAAATGTAAATATTTTCAACTATTTATGTAAATGTATAAGAATATATGGTGCCTTTTTATGTTGATAAATTCTTTTGTATTTAATTCTACTTTTTTCAATTTATATCTTATAAATTAGTTTATAAAAACTGCAATGTTGTAAAGGGTGATTTTCAAAAGTTGAAAAGTTGCAAAATTTTGGCAAAAAATTGTTTTCACCTATAGCACTCATAACAATTGATTTTTAAGGGTTGAAAATGTATGAATTTGTATTTTAAAGTATAAAAAAATCACTATTTAACTAATCCAAACCAAATTTCACTCATCTTAAGATTTATAATATTATTTTACCATTTTTGAAAATTAGGGGTAGTTTTCACCCCTAAGAACAATCAGGGTTCATCGGCATGACATAAACTATAAAGCAGAGGGTGAGTTGAGCTTTACTAATTTTTTTATATTAATGTCTAACAAGGGTCGCTTTTTAAGGGTTGAAATATGATGGAACTTTATTCAAAAGCACGAAACTATCATTATTTAATTAATTCAAACCAAATTTTACCCATATTCAGGTTTAATATGTTATTTTATAATTTTTGACAATTACGGGTAGTTTTCACCCCTTAGAACAATCAGGGTTCGTCGACATGACATAAACTATAAAGCAGCGGGTGAATTGAGCTTAAATCCAAATTTTTATCCAAATCGATCCAAGGCGAAATCATTTTTTTAGAATTAGTAATTTTATTACATTAATCTCTAACAAGGGTTGCTTTTTAAGGGTTGAAATATGATGGAACTCTATTCAAAAGTATAAAATAATCATTATTTAACTAATTCAAAACAAATCTTACCCATATTCAGGTTTAATATGTTATTTTATAATTTTTGACAATTAGGAGTAGTTTTCACCCCTAAAACCTTCAGCGCACTTCGGTTCGATATAGATTTTGATCCTTGGGCTATCACCTACCTTCTGTTAAAATTTCAACTGGATACATGCAGGACGAAAAAATTGCGAGGTTTTAACTATTTTCGAGCTTCATTTCCTGAACTATTATCGTTTCCTTAGACAAACCCGTCTTACGCAAACAACATTGTTGTGAGACAGATAGTTGAACGATATTTTATACAATGTCTATACCCAGGTATGGATTTATTTTTGTCCGAGTTTTATACTGGTCCACTATTTCAAATGCAGTTCAAACAGACACGTATTAAATTGTATGTTCCGTTTTAATTTGGTTCAATCTGTATATATATACTATTACAAGAATTAATATTAAACTCAACAGTCTTCCAAGTTGAACCACGTTGATTATCATTGTGCCGAGTTTTCGACATTCTCTTTGATGTCTTCTTCACTTGTCCCGAGGTCTCAGTCTCCTGAGCCCCCAGACACTACTACACTGATTACTAACCAACCAATGCATTAGTGCCACCGGGAACAGAGAGCCATTCATTTATTTATTTATTCATTCCAACGGTAGAACCATTTACAATAAAATACAACAAATAGTAAAAAGTAAAGATCATGTACAATATACATCAAAACAATAACAGATAAACAAGTAAACAGTTAAACTTTGTACATTAAAACAATATATCATATCACAAAAATTTTAAAAAAGTATCACAGTTTTAAAAATCAGTATCACATAGTAAATATCACATATCCAGATTAATAGTCAGATTCTTAAGTTACCTTTTAAAAGCATTAATGTTTGGGCAGAAAGGATCCAATAGGAGGTCATTGCAAGAGCTGAGCATTCTTGACAAGGGAAAATGACGAGCATAATCAATCCTATGAAAAGGAATATAAAAGAGTGCAGTGTGTTGAGTTCTATGCATTGTGTTTAAGTGTACATTGGCCAATAACGAGGGACAATTAATAACATTGTTTAGAATTTTAAACAAAAATAACATATCAGCTCTCAACCTGCGGTTCTTCAATGTAGCAATGTTAAAATGAGACATTATTATAGAATAATCTATGAAATAATTTTCAGTATTTTTTATATTAATATGGGCTTTAAAGGCTAAAGACCTTAGAAACTTCCTCTGAACGCTCTCCAGTCCATCAATGTATACTTCATGAAACGGGGACCAGACAATAGAGCAGTATTCAATACCTGAGTGTACCAGAGAGAAATACAATAATTTAAATACAATAGGTGAGAGATCATGACTGTAGCGATAAATAAAACCAAGATTACGAAATCCTGTTTCCTTAATTTTAAGAAAATGGCTTCTAAATGTCAATGCACAATCCAATAATACACCCAAATCTCTAATCTCAGTAACTGAATCCAAGAGTATATCATTAAGAATATACCTATTAGCCATTAGATTATTTATACGACCAAATGAAATACAAGAACATAGTTGGATTTAAGCTTAAACCATTTTGTTTTGACCATAAACATATGTTGTTTACATCATCTTGCATGAGATCTCTATCCGATTTATTATGTATATAACGAGATATCTTAAAATCATCAGCAAATAGCAGGAAGTGTGAGTTTTTGATAGCCTTACCAATATCATTAATGAACAAGTTAAAAAACAAGGGACCACAATGAGACCCTTGTGGTACACCAGAATAACAATGAAATTCTTTTGAAATATAATTGTTAATACGAACTTGCTGTGTAGGTCCCATCAGAAAACTTTTAATCCAATTAACAATGGGGTCACCAAAGCCAGATGCATGAAGTTTGTGGACCAAAAGATTATGATTAACCTGGTCAAAGGCCTTTGAGAAATCAGTGTAAACGCTGTCAACCTGAATTTTATTCTTAAATGCACCCAACAAGTATTGTTGGTAGTTGAGTAGGTTTGTTACAGTTGATTTCCCGTTAGAAAAACCATGTTGTTCATCAATAATTATATTTCTGCAAGCCCAGGTGAGATTTATCTATACCAATTTATCAAGAAGTTTCGGGATTGCTGATTGAATAGTTATACCTCTATAATTGTTAACACACTCGCGATTGCCAGATTTATAGATAGGTGTAAGAAAACTATTTTTCCAATATTGTGGAAATACAGATGATGACAATGACAAATTGAAAATTTGTTGTAAAGGTTTACAAAGGGAAAAAATACAGTTCTTAATAAGTGCTGCAGGTATACCATCAGGCCCTGAAGAATATGTAGTTTTTAAACTGCTAATCCCCTCGAAAACATCAGTCAGACTAAACTTCAGACTCTGGAAATCCACATTATAGTCTAATTTAAAATTAGGTACATTACACTCACTATCATTATATGTACCTGAAAAATAGCTGGCAAATAAATTGACTATTTCATCACCATTCTGAGCTATTACATCCCCGCCTTTATTAGACATTACATTAGGATAAGCACTAGACCCACATGTAGTACTAACATACCTCCAAAAAGAGTGGGGATTACTTGAAAGATTTGCTTGAATATTCTCTAAATAGTTCCTATAACAAACTGCTTGTAATCCTTTACATCATTCCCTTAACACCGAAAATTCCTCATATGAGTTGCCCGTTGCTTTAAAATTCTTGTGAGCTATTTTTATCTGTATTATAAGCTCACTTAAATCTCGTGAAAACCAAACTGGAAAGTTTAATGATTTAAACCGTTTGATAGGAACAAACATATTGATGGCATTATATAAAATATGGTAAAAATTTTCTAAGCAGCAATTTAAATCTTATTCATCTAATACATTGTTCTAAGGAATTGAGGCTAAATATTCATTTAAAACTTGATAATTACATTTTTTAAAAGCATGATAGAAGACATCATATTTAAGAAACAAATTTAATTTGGCTTCATGTAACACTATAGTATAAGCTGAATGATGTTGCGAAGTATTCAATAGAATATCAATTGAAATCGACACAACTGCATCTCTCTGAGAACAGAAAACTAGATCTAAAAATTTATTATTAAGGTTAGGCAAAGCATTTACTTGTGACATCAAGTGTAACTCAACTCAACTCAACTGTAACACCATTACTAATATTATCCCAGGATGCTTCAGGTAGGTTGTAGTTACCACAAATACAGAATTCACAATCACTGAATCTTTCCGCTAATTCTAACATAGAGGTGGAATGCTCTTCATATACTGACCCAGATGACTGTGGAGGAAAGTAAACTGCACCAATGATTAACTTTTTTGTGCCACACATAACCTGTGTAAAAACATGTTCCACAGAGGAATCGATAAGCCTAATCAATTGAATTAAGGTGCTTATACCATTTATACCATTAGTGGTTACAGGGTTGGGATGAAGGTTGGCAAGGGGTTGCGAGAACATGTCTAACAGTACGATTTTGATTTTCTCTGTCATTCATTCATCTCTTGTCATCTCTTTTATTACAGAATTGGTACAACTTACTTCAATGATGAGCAATCTCTTCAGTATGTCCCTTTCATTATAGACTTAAGAGATACTTTAGATGAAAGGCTTTCCTAGGTGGAGCATTTCAATTTAATATCCATAAAGGCTTATAAATTACTTGGGTTTGTTACAAGAAATTTTAAGTATTTTCCTTTAATACAAGAAACCAATAAGAAAAAGATTAATTGTAAATAAATTGATTTCAAATAGAATATTTCCCTTATTCTATTACTCTAATGTTTCCTACTTTCTTGTGTAACCCTACACTGAATGATATGTTTTTATATTACAAAAGAAAACATCTTACCTGTATAAGCCACTAAACACCTACTAGTTGTCAATTCCCACAATTTACAAATGGAATTCTTCCCAGCAGATAACAAATACTTCCCATTCTTTGAAAACTGTACAGAACATACCTCCATCCCATCGTGTGCTTTTACCAAAGTATTGACACACCTATTTGAAACAGCATCCCAAATTTTAATGTTACCATCTTTGCTACTAGAGGCAAACAGTTTGGCATCTCGAGACCATTTTAAACTTGTGACAGGTGCAGTATGTTGGTGTTTTGGGAAGGAACACACAAAACAGTGCAGGGTATTCATATCATAGAGACGTATGACTGGATGCTTGGTTGCTACAATTAAGTGGTCTCCTAAAGGATGGAATGATAGTGCTTTCACTGATTCTGCCTCCTTAAATTAAAAAACAAATAAGAGCTTTAAAATAATTAAATATGGACATTATGTCAGTTTTCTTCATCTCCTATTAAGAGATATACAACAAAATATGAAGTAGTAATTTAATTAAGTTATTATTGAATTATTCTAGTAGGTACTCACAGTAATAGTTTTGAAAGCCTTTTTTACACTAGGTTTAGAAATATCAAACAGCTTTATTGACATATCCCTACTTCCAGAGCATAAAAATGGTTCTTTAGGGTGAAATTCCAAACAAGTAACTTCTTCCATATGGTCATAAAGAGTCCTAATAACAGGATGTCCTTGCTGTTCTCCTCTTGAAGGATCCATTTCATCTGGTGCAGATTTAGCCAACATTCTGTCTACATCTAATATTTTTATACTAGCATCTACACTTCCTGTAGCAATTAGTTGACCATCTGCTGAAAAACAACCTGCTCTACAGTTTCCTTTGTGAGAAGTTACATAGGCTGTTTCATAAAGGGCTGGTTCTGGTGCTGGGACATTTGATTCCATTTCGAATTCTAGATCTAAAAATATTGAATCATAAAACATGAAACGATACTTTATCCACAATATGAGTTAGGTACCTAATCCTGGACCGATTTGATTGTTCCCAATTGCAGACGTTTTGGGTCTGTCTTTAATGCTGGGTTCATGTTCAAGTCCTGTTATTGTTAAATGGTACAATCTATCACTAGGGGCATTAATCGGATCAGCTTGAACAGCTTGTTGTAATGATGTAGCCACATTTTGATATCCATCGTATAATAATTGGCTAAAATAAAAATATTAATAAAAGTTAAGTATGAAGACCTGAACTTACCTTATAATAAGCTTGTACAGAAATTCTCTAGTTTTAAAAACATTATTAGTATCAGGCATCTCCTCATCTTCAATTCCATTGGAATTGCTTAAAGTAGGAGTATTGGTCATTTTATTTAACTTTAATAAACTTTTTTATAACCATTAACCATACAAATACACAAATCAAACTATTAACACAACGAATATAGACGCAAAAGTCAATAATATGTATAATTCTTCTTTTTAACAAAAATGTTTATTTACGTTTTACAACATCCCACGGAACGAGATAAGAAAATATGTCTTTTCTTCGGCATTGATAAAATTGCAACTGCGGAAGCACTAAAAATACTATAATTTTCAATATTGAAAAAAGAATCGAAGTATACTCTCTATTTTTAAAACTTAACAAATATTTATGCTGCTTTACATGTGTTGCAGGTACTTACATTAGTTGTATAAACATAATTGTTTTGTGAAGATACAAATAGACAAACGGAAGAAGATATAATCATCAGATGTCATTAGATAAATGATAACCTAGAATTTTGACATTTTTTTGTTTATTATAAATAGTGGATATTATACTCGTGATGTTTTTACGATCATACAGAACTAAGCTTAAACTTTAAATACCAATAATTTCGATCTATTTAACATGTACTTACAACATCAATTATCAATAGTACTTATTGTGAGTACAATTCAATATACGTCCTCAAATTGTGGGTGTAGTACAAATAGAAATGGTCAATGCAAAGATGATTTTGATCCAAGCCACAAGTATTTAAAAGACTCAAATGAAATTAGAGACAATAATGAAAATGAAATGCTTAATACGTCCCATATGGTGCTAATAGAAAGTACAATTTTTGAAATGGGAACCAATAAACCTGTTTTTGAGGCAGATAATGAAGGCCCACTTCGTAATGTGACTGTAAATACATTTTACCTTGATAAATATGAAATATCGAACCAACAATTTTATAATTTTGTTAAGAAAACAGGGTATAAAACAGAGGCTGAAGTTTTTGGAGATAGTTTTTTATTTGAAATGTGCCTTCCTGAAAAAGAACGAAAAAAATATGAAGATATCAGAGCTGCTCAAGCCCCCTGGTGGATAAAAATGAATGGAGTGTCTTGGAAACACCCTGAAGGACCAGATTCTACAATTGAAGGTTGGTATATTAAAACAATTTGAGAACTTACTTAAGTTAAGAACTACACAATTTTGTCTTTGCTTTCTACTTTTGCTCAATATATTTTTTATATTACTGTATTTCAGGTAAAATGAATCATCCAGTGATTCATGTCTCCTGGAATGATGCTGTTAAATATTGTGAATATGTGGGAAAAAGGTTGCCTACAGAAGCTGAATGGGAACTGGCCTGTAGAGGGGGATTGAAACAAAAATTGTATCCTTGGGGAAACAAACTACATCCAAAAGGACAGCATTGGTAAATGATATAAAGTTTTCTAATAATTAAGCTGCATATTTGTCTTTATCTCTATTTTTTATCTTTTCTTAGAGAAATACTAATATTTTTTTTTTAACATGAAATAAGATGATAGTTTATTTTCCATAATCCTTTTTAAATTATATAAAACCTCTTTTGATTTTTTTTTAAATTTCAGGGCCAACATTTGGCAAGGAGAGTTTCCTCATACTAATACTGCTGAAGATGGTTTTGTATTTACTAGCCCTGTGGACTCTTTTCCTGCAAACAAGTTTGGGCTTTATAATATGGCTGGAAATGTTTGGGAATGGACACAAGATAATTGGAAAAATGAGCCTGTAGGTATTATCTAAAATATGTGTTACATATTCTTATATAGCATTTTTTTATCAGTCACAAAAGTGGAGCAATATGCAAGTAGCATGTAAAAAATTGGTGATTTTGCATTACATATCAATGTCCAATATTTATTTGATGGGATGTACCTTTCACTCTCTGAATGTACCTATCTATGCTAAAAATGGAAGCAAGCAAGAAGAGCCTCAAATCTACACCTCGACATGTTTGTCGTCTTGTATATTGAGCAATGATGGATAAAATTAGTGCTCCAGTAATCTCGTAGTCGTGGTTTTGTATTCAAACCCATCCATATTAAAATTCCCAAAAATTTTAATATTTCTTCTCTGTTAGTATCATTCCAGTTAGTGAGATATGAATTTGTCTTAACGTTTTCACGATTTATAGCATCAATAATTTTTTGTTCAGCATATCGATTTGTTTCCTTCACTAAAATATCGAGTATCTCGTTTATTAGGAGCAGTCTATAAAACGTTAAAGGTGTATCATTTTCCCTACTTTCTACAACTGTACCAAAAGAAGTATTTTCATGTATAATGTCAAATGTATTCAAATTTCCATCAACATTGTTCCATATAACATTTGCCTGTAAATTCCCTATACGAGGATCAGAGCTGGGTCGGATACAGAAAAAAAGTATCCGGATACCGGATACGGATACTCAAAATGTATCCGGATACTTTTTAAAAAAGTATGAATACTTTCACTTCAAAATGTATTCGGATACAAGTATCCGGATACTTTTTTCGGATACTTCTTAGGATACTTTTAAGGATACTTTTAAAAGTGACCTAAATTGCTAGTGATAGAATTATGTGATGAGCATGTATTTTTATTGTATATAATAATAAAAAGAACGTGCATAAAATACTGGAAACAGAAATCAAAAAACACTCAAGAAATTGTTTATTACTTATGAATAATAAAACAAGAACATGATTAATCAAACCAGAACATACTATAATATGTAAAGAAAAATTAAATAAAAATAAAAACGTATTAATAAAGAAATTGCTGAAGATTTTTTCGCATATATTTACAGAAGTGCCTTTGAATTTGCCTTTGTAAGTACCAATACCTCAAAGTGTTCATCGCTTAAAGCTTTTCTTTTAGGTGTATCAATCATAGTTGCAAAAGAGAAAAGTCTTTCAACTGGTGCTGACGAAGGTAAGCATGTGTTATATTTTGTTGACACCCTTTTTAAGGTTGGGTATTCATTTAGGATTTGTAAATTGGTTCTTTTGTCCTCCAAATATCGTAACAATTCTAACTGTATTTTTGAAGTTTTATTATTTACGCTGGAACCCTGTTCCTGTTCATTATATGTAATAGTACAGCTATTGTCCACTTGCTGGTCTCGGAAATCGCTAAAATCAAAAAAGTCATCTAAATTTTGATCTCCACTTTCGTCTGATTCATTGCAACTTTCCAACTCCATTTGTTTTTTTGCAACAGTTATAATGCATTTTTTGATATCTTCTAAAGTTTTTTTGGGATTATGTACTACATTGTACCACTTTAGCTTAAATTTAGGAAGAAGAACTGCAGCTATAATTGGATCTTCCCATTCCAAATTTAAAATGTTAGCAAAACGAGTATTTAAGCTTTTAATGCACATTTTTGCTAGATGTTCTCCTCCATATTTCAATTTTGTTTGGGCAAGAAGTTTCTCATATTTATTAATTAATGAAATTAAGCTGGGTAACAAATATCCAAAAGATACATTCTCTTCACCTTGTAACAAATCTAACGTTAAAGCCAAAGGTTTCATAACTAAACAGTATTCCTCTAGGTATAATAGTTCAGTTTCCTTAAAAGGTTCTAATGTTAGATTTTGTAGCAAAATTGGAAGTTTTTCTTTTGCTTGAAGAATCTGTGAAACTGCATCAAAAGTGGAGTTCCATCTAGTGGCCCCTGGAGAACTTAGAGTATGTCCTAAAATTTTAATTATAACTTCATTGCTTTTTGGTTTATTCGATTTTTTCCATAACTGAGCACATTTACTAAATGCATTCTTTTCTCTTATGCGGATAGTTGGAATGTTTATAACAGTATTTTTATAATCTGTTGTGGCTATTAAATTTAAAGTATGTGTGGCACATCGCATATGCTTGGGTAGCTGTATATCCTGGTCTTCTAACTCTTTGCCTTCATCAACCTCTAAATGTAAAATTTGCAATTCATTTTCTTCTTCGTCAATTTCCTCATCGTCGTCCTCTTCATTTTTCTCGCCGAATACTTTAAAAGCTTTAACGAAATTGCTACCGTTGTCTGTTACTGTCCCCACAATTTTATTTTCTGTTAAACCAAATTTTAAATTTATATCTTCTAGCATCTCAGCTATGCTTCTGTAGGAGTGAACACCTTTAAACCTAAAATAAACAATGGTTCTTAAATTTTTGTTTGTACATCGTCCATGTAGAATGTACAAGACTATGAATTTGTATAGTGGGATGGCCGAAAAATAAAGGCTGTAAGATGTATTTTCGTTACAAAGAAAAATTTTAAAGAAAGAAAATAGGGTAGGACCCTTTAAAAATATTTAAAAATATAGAGTGTTGCACAGAAACGGTGGATAAGCAATATACATATTTTCAATTGAACCATCCTATATATTTTTACAATTTTGAATTCTCCTGCATTATCTGATTTCGGCATTTTGTTTAAATATTTGGGTTTAGGAGGTATAGATATTTGAAAATCACAATTTAGCTGTGTACCCGTTTTCACATGATAATTGTTGAAAACAGAAAATCGGCTGTCTTGTAAATATCTTTTTAAGTAAGTACTAGTCAATGCGATAAATAAAAAAGGGTGATAAAAATCAATAATTTCGGACAATAAACTATTATTAGTGCATTGAATAGTACTTCAAAAGGTAAGATAGGAACTTAAGCAACGATTTTCTTTATTTTTAATTTATTGCTTCCATGCAAAAAGGTGCTAGGTCCTAAATCTAACAAATAAATATATTGCTGAAATCGGAAATCAGATCATTGACGAAACTTTACAAATGTATAAAGTTTTCCGATTGAAAAATGCATCTTCGCTTTGCCTTATTTCTATAATTCTTTACAACATGAACATACTGTATATTTAAAAATAGTTGTAAGTTTAATAATTGTATAAATTAAAGTGTTTCATCTTTTTTCATAAAATCATTCCTTTTTGGATTTTGGCTACCCCGTAGAATGATTAAATACTTAATATTTGAGATTAGGTAGATCGTAGCGTTTTAACCAAAGAAATATCGAAAAATATACAATTATAATTTATTCACCTTCTACAGGCAAGTGCAGCTGATTTGCGGATAAAGTCCTCATCTAACCAGTGAACTGTAACTCCTAAGAAGCTTCTTTTTTTATTTGACCATATGTCAGCTGTAGTGCATACGTAATTAACACCCCTAATTTTATCTTTAATAATTTGCATATTTTCATCGTGCGAATCTATAATTCGTTTCATTACTGTCTTTCTTGTTGGTATTTTCAAATTTAATCCTTGGAAGATATCCTTAAAACTTTGGTGTTCTATTATAGATATTGCACTCATTGTGCTCACAACAAAATTTATTATTCTTTTTTCAAACAGAGATTGGCTTAAAACTGATTTGCTTCCCTCTTTGGCCATTCCAAAAATGTTTGGTTGAATAAGCTTAGCTTGTTTGGGTTCTCGACTTTCGAAATCTTGAGTTGCATTAAGTCTTTTTCTGGTCAAATCTTTCTTTGAAATTTTATACTTATTATACTCGTCAATTTTATTAGGATGAATCCTTTTTAAGTGTTTAAAAAAATTTGAAGAAGAACCTTTTATCCCTTTTATGGTTTTCTTCTGTGGAAGGCAGAGTTGACAATCAGCTGTAATGTTTTCGCCGTCGTTTTCTTTTATTTTAAAGTATTTTCCATCTAGTATGGAGGAACTACAAGCAAATTGCGAACTTTGTGGATCATCAGATTTTTCTCCCATGTTTTTAACAAGTCTTGTTAGAGGTTCGGATATCATACAAACTTGGTTTGGTTCATTTTTTCCTTTTAGTTTGAAGAAATTCATAAGAGAATTTGTCTGAGATTTTCGAGGTATACTTTGGGCAGAATCGGAATCTGATAATTCTTCTTCTAGGTCTAGGTGATAATCGGGATCATCTGAACTTGTAGCAAATGGATCTTCTGGAGTGTCATCACTTTGTTCTGGATTGGAACTGGTAGATGCAACTGCAGGATCAATTGAATTCATGTTGCTCTATCTGGAATTAAAAAAAGCTTGTCTAACTTACCCCCTCATACTATCATTTTTTAAACGAAATGAGCTCTCCTATCGAAATTCGACAAAGCTAGTTTGAAAATATTTTAAGAATATCACAATTTGTCATGGCACACGAATTAAAATGAATGGTCTGAAAGGACATGGTATACAAATTTTAAACGTAACTCCATCGAAATTTTGTTATTAAATGATAAAAAAACAAAATACGGCATAAACATTATTGTTGTAGTTATTTAGTTGTATGAAATAGACGTTAGACGGGACTAAAAAATTGTGAAATTCTGTGTGTTTTAATGTAATTTAGTTTTTTGTTTTCTTCAAATTCAAACACCACGCTGTCATTTAAAAACTTTACAAAACATCTTCATGTATATGTCTATGATGCCTATGCTAATAGAAAAAAATTAAATTTGCAAAAATTTGCAATTTTGACACCCTGTATCTCAATAAGTAATCATAATCATTTGCTCAATAATAATGATCGCGTAGTCTTTTTTAACAAATAATTATAACTTTTTTACTTACTATCCGATATATATTTAATAACTAATGCATTCTTCAAATTCAAACACCACGCTGTCATTTAAAAACTTAACAAAACATCGTCAAGTATGTCTATGCCTATGCTACTAGAAAAAATTTAAATTTGCAATTTTGACTCCCTGTATCTCAATAAGTAATCATAATCATTTGCTAAATAAGAATTATTTACTCCGGT